CTATGCTCCTATGCTTCCAATCCACCCCCCCTCCCCCCCCCCCCCCCACCAGACGTTTTATCAGAGGGTAAATTGGCCATTAATTATTCATTCACAGAAGTTGTCTTTATAAAGTCAGTGTTTGTACATTTCATAATATTTAAAATATATTGTGGTATTTAATTACCATTTAGCACATTATTAATTCGATCTTATGTTACCTGGGCCCTCATAAGAAACAAAGATTAATAACAATACGCCCTACCAAGCATGTCGTAAGAGGTGATAAAGGATAGGGCTGGACGTCGAGATTAACGACATGATCCCTTAAAAAAAAACAATAGACAACAACCAATCAACAAACCAACATTATTAGTTTTTATTATAATTATTATAATTATTATTATTTTGCTGTCAAACTAGGATTAAGCACTTGAGAAGGCAAGTCGCTGCCTAGAAAATATATAAGTTAGTAAAGTAAAGATCCCTTTTCACGCCTTAGGGAAATTGGAAGAGCGTCCCATATTTTTACAGACCCAACGGCACTGGGTGGGTAATGTGGTCAGCATTACGCCGGCCGTCTTTACTTCCCCAGAACAGCCATTCTGGTACCCATTTTAGGCTGGGTCGACCATGATAAAAATCCATGCAGCCAGCAGTGGGTTTCGATCCCGGTACGTTAGATTTACGAGTCGGACTCGCAACGCCTAAGCCACGGACGCCGCTGAGAAAATATATAAGCCTACGCTTATCGACGGAGTAGCAAGATACGACTAGCCACAACTACTTAAAGATGAGTAGTAGTTGTGTAACCATGGCAATGAAACAATTTAACGCATAACAGTCATTACTTTAATGCACGCAATGTGTTAATATTTGCACTTGAGAAGTCTACGGAGCGATTTATCGAATTTAGCAAATTCAATATCTGATTCTATGTTACCAAATTTTCATGGTTCGCTGAAACTAGGGAATTTGATCGAATGTTTACGGTTTGTCAGTGTGGTCATATTTGTAAATATCAGTTTAGATAAAGACTCAAAATGCAAATGAATATAGACGCCGACTGACTTCTAGTTTGTATTTGTGAAGTATTTTTCAAATTTAAAAAAAAATCTGTGATATAACAGGCAATCGATTAGATAGTTTTCTTATCCTAGTTTCATAATTGTTTTCGTTGTTCCTAACTCATTTTGTTCTTTGTCTGGTAAAAGTTTTTGAATTTTTTTTTATGTTACTTTAAAATATTAGTTATATTCGTCATCTTTCGCATTTCTGGCCTTTCCGGTTCTTTGCTGTAGACAATAGGTTAGTTGCGTATCCTTCACAGGACGCTGCAGAACCAACCCTAGCAGCCCCTGGCTGTTGTATGGTTTCTCTAGGCAAATTTATATCCAGTAGTTTGCTTTTGCTTTTTGTACGGTCGGCTCCCTGATACCACTGTCGAAACCAACGCAAGGCGCATGACCCTCAGCTGGGATCAAACCCGGCACCCCGGCATTAAGAAGAGTTTGCATCGACTTAGCCACAGAGCCGACTGCGGTAGACAATGCCTGCCTTCATGTATCTCTCTGATAAAGCTTATCTTTCCCGTTTGTGATTCCAAGTGTTTGCGTCTGCTTGGACGCTATCTCTCCACCGTCTTCTTGGTGTAAATCAAGGTCTACTGACCTGTTGACTATTGTGTTCACATTTCTCTCTCTCTCTCTCTCTCACTTTCTTTCTCTCTCTCCCCCCCCCCTTCCCCCCCCTCTCTCTCTCTTATCTGATATACCTTCTTTATCTTGCAACCATTGCTGCCAAAATTTTTTAACGTTAAAGTAATAATCGACAACACAGCACTCGGGACACTCCCACAAGCGCTCCACCCGCATCTTTAGCAGCAAGCGAAGAGTTACAATTCCGATAGCACCTCATGGTGTTTACTTCTTGTGCTATATCGGCAGTTTCTAAGTTTATTCAGCCCCCCCCCCCTTTTTCTCGAATATATGACATTACTCTACCCCCCCCCCCCCCCCACCCCCACCCCCCTCGAACATATGACAGAAACCTTCAGCCCCCTTCGAATATATGAAATGAACCTCCCTCTTTAAATATATGACAGAAACCTCCCCGCCCCCTCGAATATTACCAGAAACCTGTCCCCTCTCGAATATATACCAGGACCCCCCCCCCCAACCCCCATATTCAAATATATGATAATAACCTTCCAACCGCCTCGAATATATGACAGGAACACATCCCCAACCCCACTCGAATATATGACATGTCCCCCCTCTCCCCCCTTACCACGAATATATGGCAGGGACCCCCCCCCCCCCTTCCACCACAATGTAAACCAAAAAAAATTGATTAAAAAAGAGGTTTACACAAGTAAAATCTCAAGCAGTATAAAGAAAAACTTATCAGAAAATATCCACATAAATCAAAGTGCCAAATAACATAAAACAAACTATCTTCAACAACTAGTAGTTTAGTGTCCACATGTCAACTTGATGGTTGGCACTGTTTTGTCTTGATGTTGTCTGCCATGATTGATCTGATGCTAGGACATGTGACAAGGCGACGTGTTAGACATAATTATAATGTTCATTGCAGTATGACAATGTTAGAAATACAAGATATACAAACCAACATAAATTTGCAATATTATTAATAAACTGATTAAAACTTCGATTGTCTCTGAAGTCATCCCCATGTTTTTAATCCCTCATTTCCATGTGGGATGCAATTTTTTTTCAGCCCACCCTGGCTTTTGCTGGGGGCCCTGAAAATAGCCGGGGCATATATGTGGCCTAGCCATAAATATTGTCTAACGGCTGAGTGGGGTTTCTGGGACCTCTCCACGTATGATCCTCATCTGCATGGTGGCACTTTGTGTCACCGGGTGTTTATCGTTTGTGTGATGTCCTGGTAAGGTTTAAAAAAAGTCAGCCAGTCAGTCGAATGTCTCTATATTAATCGTGTCGTGGCGTACCATATCTGTCTGCAGTCAGCAAAAGTTTACTCAGAGTAGAAGTAACAAACATGAATCGACATCCACCTTTGCCATAAGTGGGCAGATTGAAAGAATCAGGGCAATCTGTTAGGCGGAACTAATAATGGCCTCACGCCTAGCTCCGTCCATCTACACACTAGGTCACCTTTCATTGATGCTTGTTTAGGCTGGTCAACGTCGATCAAGCTTAGAGGAGTGTCCCGGTGTACTGTTGTAAAATGATCTCTCGTAGAACATAGGTTCATTCACGTCCGGCTGCATATAAATCTAGAGCTGGCCGTGGTTCATTGTATGGGGTAAGAGGGGGTTGGGGTTAGGGCCAGTTGTACATGTCATGAGGTTGATAAGAGCGCTCACATCCTGTAATATAGAGCACGCGTGATCACCCCTGCCACTTGAACTTGCGCTTTTCAAAGGTTAAGACATAGAATGATCGTCCAATCACAGTGTCCTGGCTGGATTCTGTCAATCATAAGTATGCAAATGGGCGGAGTCGGGCCTGAGTTTGTTACAAGTTCCTGTTGGGCTGCTGTCACACAAGAAACACCTGTGATTAATATCCACCCCAAGCTAGTCGCGTTATCATCTTTACAAGTGCATTTCAGGAGCATTGAGCTTGACGATTTAGGGCTGTCGCTTGTGCAGAACTGTGCAGGTTAAGGTGATTTTACTCCCGATCAAACAAATTCTATAATCTTACCGAGGATTCAAACCCTGATTTTCTAGGTGAAAACCCAGCACTCTAGCCCTTCGGCCAGGTGATCGGCTTTCATGTTATATTAAAAACCTAATTTATCCGATACCATTTTTGTTATGGTAGCCGCCATAGGGTGGCGGCTACACACTTGCTTTCGGATCAGAAGGTCGTGGGTTTGAAATAGAAAAGAGCCGAACTTTTTGCACACAGAAACGAAATTATTAAATAAATGAGCTTGCCTCCCAGGGGGGACCAGCCTTGAGTGGGTGCTGGGTAAAGTCATGGGAAGTAAAGGCTGCCCGTATAATGTTGACCACATCAAGCATCGAGTGCCGATTTGTCCTTGCATATACTGTATAATTGTATTGCTACATACCCAACACGCCTGAAGCTGTCGAAAAATGTTTCTTTACTATACGTTTTATTTATGTTATTTTAAATCCTTGATTTATCTTGAAACATTTCCTATTTTAATCTTACACTCTTTCCAATTTTGTAGTAGCCTAATAGCGCTGCCTATGCAAAATTTAGAGTTAAAAATCTACCCAAAAATCTACCCGAAGTATTTTAGGATCCTCGCCGGTGCTACGAAGTTCGAGCTCTGCGCTGAGATTCTTCAGACTCAAGCCTGTGTCAGAAGTAGAACGGAGCAATCGTGGGTTACTACCCGTGTGCCATGATGTTGTTACATCGTCTAAACCAAACCAAAACAAACCAAACAATTGTTTTCATATCAAATTTCTAATCTGACAGCTCCTTATTATATCTTATCTTATGTCTTACCTGATAAAATTTCCTTATTGTATTTTATTCCATTTCTTATCTGACATTTAATTGTTTGATTGTTAATACTTTTCACACATTACTAGCTCCTCATTTTGTTTCATACATTTCTTATCTGATAATATTTTTTTTTTTTTTTTTTAAAATTTGAGCTTTTATTATAATTTTTCCATTTTATCTAACATTACTTCATTGTCAGATACAACTTCCTGATTTTATATTTTAAAATCATTTGTTGTATGTTTAAACATTTCATAATCCTAATTTGTGTGTGCGTGTGTGTGTGTGTGTGTGTGTGTGTGTGTGTGGTTTAAATATTTTTCATAATCTTTTAACATGATCTCATATTTTCTTTTTACTTTAGAATGCAGTCAATGAATCATCCCTTCAGGTAATCTCTCCCCTGATCAGGAAAATAAAAACAATATTAAAAAAAAAAAAAAGAAGCAAGAACAAACAGAAGTTACTCACTCACCCTAAGCACGTTTAGACACATATATTATCCCTTTACCATGTGAGGGAAGCAGCTGAAACAGAACCGACATGGATTGTTTGACTCCTTCACCTTTGGATTTCACCGGAAACAGGTTCCGGTTCAACTCCAGTTCTATCGATTCCTCATCGAAACTGTCTGTTGATACACTGAGCCAAATCTCTCCTCTAGAGCCTCCAAAAGACCCACCCAGCTCAGGTGGTATTTCCAAAGGATACATAAAGAATAACAACAATAAGACAAGCAGGAAACAGTGTGTCAGTGCAAGCAGTGGTAGCCAGAGAAGCAATCACAGCAGCGGAGACAGCAGTGGAGGCTCGAGTGTAAACAGTGTTTTCTATAGATCAAAGAACGGTGCTGTTAATGAGTACGTCAGGGGGCCAAGTAAGGTTGGAAGAAAGACAGGTGCTCAAAGACTAATACCCAACGGAGCCGCTAAGGTCAACGATGCAACCCCATGCTTGTCATTGAAGTCAAAAGTAACATCTGAAGAAGTGACTTACACGATCACCGATGATATCGATGATGCTTCCAACCAAACAGCGTTTTTACCTCCGCCTCCAACGGATATTGACTCTGACAGCGATAGTGTTGGCAGATGTGATATTGGTGGTCCTTGTTCCCCACGCCATCACGATTGGAGAAGCTCTGAAGATCTGAGCAAGTCACCTACATCCAGGAGAATGGGGCGCGGAAACAGCAGATGTCTTTGCTGTATGCTTTTGGTCTTTGTGCTGTCTACAATTGGCTTGTCGTCAGTGCTGGTGCTTTTACATCTGGGGAAGTTGCAGTTGGCTGCGATTCAAAGCAGTCACAGGTATAATGAGAAAGGTGGTGGAGCACTCGGCGAAGGGGCTTTGGTCCGAGAGGTCAGTGCATTTTTTTGGGGGGCTATCAGTAAATCAATGGGTATATATATGAACTTCTATGTATATGTTAATTGCCTTAAGTCTTGATTTGTTTCCTAGCGTTTATTGTCTGGAAAATACCCGGGACAGTTATAAGACGAACTCTAGATAAGTGTGTGAACCTTAGACAACATGATCTCAACCAGTTCCTTGTAGCTATTAGCTCTGACATTCACGAGAAAGTTAGATGCCAACGGAGGAAACACATACCAAGCGTTTTGTCCCCTTCTTCTGGTTTTCGTTCGTTCAACTCTAAAACATATTCTTTAAAAAGACATTCTTACTGAGCGGACATAAAATTTCCTTCTTCGAGTTTTGACTCGCTGAGTCAAAGAAATTTGTCAGCCAAGTACTAGTAAACTGATCCAGTCTGGTCAATGGTTTTTACCAAGCTTTCATCAGTTGAGTTGAGTTGAGTCAAGAATTGACATCATAGCACTCAGGGCATTCCCATGCGTGGTCTGTCCCTCATCTTCAGCAGCCAGCACAGAGTTCCAATATAGTTGGTACTGGTCACAATCTGGTTATATGTCTGTCTAGCCTTTACTCTGAGTGTAGTGAAACGGTTAGACCCTCTGGTTACACCCAGGTGCCTCATTCTCTCCAGGCCATAATAATGTTGTTTCTATACTGATTCCTTTACTTGTTCCCAAAGGGCCTTGACCACATTTGCCTTGTATGTAAGACGCTTTCTTACTCCAACTTTTCCTCTGATGATGGTATTGTAACACTGTTCCTTCCTTTTTTGTTATTTTCCTTTGCAGAACATTACTTATTTTCATCATCCCCATGCGGGGTGCAATTTTTAGTTATTTTGAAGCCCCACTCTGGCTTTTACCGGGGGGCTTTAAATGTAGCCAGCCTGAAATATGGCCTACCGGATGAATAGGGTTTTCGTGTTCTCTCCACTGGTGATCCTCATCCGCATGGCGGCACTTTGCGTAACCGGATGTTTATCGTTTGTATGATCTCCTGGTGGGGCACAACTTATATACACACACATTTTCAGCACCCCAAAATAAGTAAAGATAGATTGTTTTCATATAAGTGACAGCAACTTGTTGTCCAGTCAAACAGACGTGGGTATTGCCACATAAAACTAGTCTTATAATGTAAAATATATAGTAGGAGACAGTCTACAACACAGAACGATTGTGCAACTGTAGAAGACTGGTAAACATAGAAGCTTTTGTTCTACTGTAGTCAGGTCGATTCAATGTTGCTTGTTGTCCTGGACTGGTTTTGCTAATTCTCAACTGTTTGGCATGCTTATTATCTTATTCTTTGTTTTTTTTTAAATTATTTTCTGTTTTTCCGTGTGCATGTCATGGGCAGAGTCG